ACGGCTGAAAGGGCGAGCATGTTTGATGGGACGGGGATTCGAACTCGCGACCCTCAGATTGATAGTCGAGCGCCCTAACCACCTGGCCATTCTGAAATGGTGAGAGGTGATAAAGTAACTTTCTAAGGGGAATGGTGAGGATAAATTAAGAGAGCGTCTGAAGCGAATATGAGTAGAAAACGTGTACGAATTCACGTTTATCGTCGATTCGTAAATTGGTTAACGATAATGAAGTAAGCGAGTTCTGGAGCTGTAGCTTCCAGAGCTACAAACAGTCTCCAGCCATTATTAGTCTCAAAGTGGGTTCCTCGTCATCGAACTTCCAGAGCTGTTCTGTGCGAACAAAAGATACGAATGTTCTTTGTTTAGTAATTAATGACGATAAAGTAACTAATTACTGAACTTGTCACCGTGAAAAAGGTAAGTTCAAGAACTGATAATTGAAAACAGAGCAATTTCTTTTTTTTTCTTAAAAGTTTTCACAGCGTTTTGTTGTGCAAATAATAAAGAAGTGAGCACTATTTAAGCTTATTCTATACTTCCGACAAGAGATCCACCCATCTATCTGCATGTTTGCTTCTAAACTCTCGATGTAGAGTTTCGAGAGATACGCACATTAACGTATAAAACTCCACCACGAACAGAAAAGACGTCTGATTAGGTTTGGAGTCTAAACCAAAACATATATGTATGTACACTTTATGTTATATGCAAAACGGTGAATGGCCAAGATGCCCATTCCTGTGATAAAATGTAATAATTTCTTGGTCATTAAGTCGTTTTGTAGCTGTTAGGAATTATATTCGAGCAGTTCAAAGAAAAGTAACGGGTACAATTTATAGAGGATTCATACATATGTAGCGTGTGACAGACAGCAAAAAATACAAGTACAAAGAAACATAAAATATATAAAAAAAGGATAGAAACTATTTTATGAAATCGATGCTATCAACATTTTTTCTATAGGTGTTCTGGGTTCGTGATTACGGTTTACAAATTATTAAATACCTTAGGCTGAAGTATGACACAGTCACAAAATTTTATGTAGAAAGTATAAAATCCGACAAACTGCACAGGTCCTGTTTTATATTTTCAGCTGTTTAGTAAAAGGGATCATATTTTTTATTTATGTCGCATCCACGTTTTTAAAATATTCAACTT